TGCGTAGGCGAGCAACAGGTAGTGCTAATTATACTAGTTCATTAGAGCAAAAATAACATTGAATAAATTGCTTTGGCTTTGGCACGTACTACGTATGCCTGATTACCGCTTACCGAGGCGAACCATGTTCCGCTTGTCAGATGTAAGATGGAGTAAGGCTAGTGGTAGACAAGGTCGATTATGCAGCGAGAAATGAAGCCACTGACGACCAAACTGGGTGTCATCGTTCCGTCTCGCCTTTCAGGCTGGAGTTCACGTGACCCACCTTGTGCTTGGCCCGAGAAGTTACAGGAATTGGCTCGCAGTCGACATTGGCGCAACAGTTGTCGTCTCGCAGTCAGACCGCCTGTTTAACGTGTGTTTGGTGCTGAGTTATCTGCGGAGCAATGGTTGATTATGACGGGGGGGGGCATTGAAAGTCGCGAGGAAATTGTTTTACTGAGGCGGCCTTATCCTTGCATGATAATCAGCTGTTTGTGACAGTATGTTGTTTACACAAGGTGTAGGCGTCTTGACCCTAAGTGTTTGATCAGGTCACTAAATTTTATGCTAGGTCTGTCTTCTCTCCCTGCTATTATTCTTCGTTCCGTATGCCACCATGGTTGAAAAGCAGAGAGGCAGCAGTTCAAATGGCTGATGTATTGCTGTTGTTGATACTGATGGATCTGCTCGCAAATGATCACAATGCAACGCTTGCTCCATTCCTATCACATGCTCAATTGTCTTACGCGCCAATCCAAGATAACAATTAGGGTGGTTATGAGGCAAAGCAAAGCTAAATGCTTCATTTACTCATGATTCGACCATGCTGTGGCTTAAATCTAGCTTGTGCAAACAGTGACTTCGTGATCACTCTCTTCCTAGCTTAGTGAGATTGTAATTCGTTCCTCTCTAACGAGAATGTACGCAAGTTAAATTATCTTTGACAGACATTTCCACCAATGACAATGTACAAGATTCTGGTATGCAATTTATGTAATGCACTCGGGCTAACCAGACACTTGAAGTAAATAAACAGTATAAGTAATTTCATCCTAGTTTCCTGGTGGATATGTTCCCAGTTTTTCGCTTCGAACTTTCTGCAAGGAAAACCTTGCAGGCTCTGTCAAGACGTATTTTGACAATATTCACTTGGAGCTTTGCTTTCTTTCTCAGGGCTTATTCTCTAAACAGCCGTATTTATTGTTAGTTCATTTAAGGCCAATAGTTCAGTGGTGCAACATTCAGTATGCACCAATCAAACGTCACGAGTCAGGCGTTCGAAGCACGTAAGGCAGCCAATTGGTTCAACCGGAAAGATGGGGTCAGGCTCCCTGAGAAATACATTCATCGCATGTTTGAAAGATAAGTAAGAGAGCGAAAAATCCGAAGTTAATTGACTACATCTTCGCTTACACCGCTGGAGTTGATCCCTTCAACGGCACTGAGTGCACACTTTGGCAGCTCACGACTTGCAAAGAACAATTCTGATTCACTAAGCATCCATGGCGGTGTGTAGTAAACCAGTCCGTGTTTCAAATTTTATTACCTGTGGAAACTTATCTACAGCAACGACCCATATGGTTGTCTCAGTTGGTTTTTGGTTAGGGCGCCGTTCTGTTATTCTAATATAAGAGAACAATTTTCCAGTATATTCGTATAGCCCGTTGGAACATTTGTTTGTTCTAGATAAAGGGGAATCATGTCATGCCCCATTACTGTCGAGAACCTTATTAATTTATTTCGACATTTGGAGATAAATTAGCAATGGAGTTCGGATAATCTAATCAGATAATCCGTATGCAAATTTGTGCATTTGGAAACAACGAAAGAGGTTAGCTGCAGCCATTTGACAAATGTGCTTCCGCCTCACTAATCGATAGACTTGAACGACTGGAAAGCGTAGGTGGGAATCATGATGTCTGGACTGAAATCCTTAATGTCTCAGAAAGCTAGACTTGTATCCAGATATATAAGTTGCAAGTTGGCTTTCGGCCTGTAAAATATGAGGACCGGAAGAGTGTCAGCGTGATACTGGGTTTCTCGGTGCATCGACCAGCTCGAATGCTTGCAACCGATGTCACATGGTAGACATAAAAGTTTTGGAGAGCTCTTGTTTAATTTCACTTTATCCTGACATTTGTCTTGAGCATTACAGGCGCACGCGCATCAAAGTACCAGTGAAAAGTATGAAAATCGAATCTCTGTTAATCTTTTCAACGCACTGTATCAAGCAGACAACACGGCATATGGTATTAATGAGGCCACTGAATGACTGCATATGTAATAGTCAGAGATATAGTGAGTTATGAGGCTAGAGTGGGCTTACGCACAGCTTCTCTTATCATGGGAGTGTGCAAAATTACTTACATTCAGAGCAGATTCTGGTCTTCGATGAATCCCGTCTCCGCTGCAGTCGGGGTAGATGAGCTGAAAGGCATAGCGACATACCACGCCGTGATGTAGATTCGCAGTATTTTCTTTTATTGAGGAAAGCAACCTCCATAAGGTAAGCTTTATAGAAATCATCATTTCCAGTGTTTTGCAACGACGGACGTCATTGGATAACATTCCGTTTTTAGCAAGAACAACGGGGATCAATCAACCGTCCTAGAAGAAGCATTGAAAATGGTAATGCTGTATGATGTCTGATCAGAAGCATAACCCTCGAGACCTTTGAGGAGGTTAAACCTAGAGAAACAGCTGTCAAGTTTGTTCGGGTCCGCTCCGTTCCGATTGATTAGAGTTGAGCAGGATCACTGAAGTCCTGTTACGAAGATAAACATTTCTTTGGAACACAATTGGCTGCCTCCGTTGGCCCCCATATTTTTCTAGCGAGCTGTGATTTGTTTACATCATAAACGTACATATAGTGTCAACCAGCAAAGGATGAGTGAAAGTTTGGATTTAGCAAACCACGGTAGTGTCATTAGCTCGATTGCTTCTCTTAGCTTCCTCTTCCGCAGGAAATAGGCTGAAGTTCACGAATGCAAACACACTACTTCATGAGCTATGGTATTCCATTTGAGGCAAACAAGAAATCTAAGCCAATTGGATAAATTGACAGAATAACTTTTATAAAACCTAGTCGCCTTGAACCGGTTCAATTGCCATCGGAACTTATTAGCTGTGCGGATAAATCGGGTGTGGCAGGTTATTCAGACTTGTGATATATCTGCATTCGAAAACTACTCGATGACGCGTTAGACCATAGGCATTATGAAATCTAGTTTCTGCCCACTTGGGGACGGCGTGACACATTGAAGGCCGGTATTCGCCATCGTCTCCATACATTTGTGTTATGTGAACAGCCTAACGGGTCAACCGAAGCTTGGCCTATTTTGCTGATAACGCACATAACTTTAAAAGAGGACTATCGTCTACTATCCTGTTTTTACACTTAATAAACCGTTGTTCCAGTTTTCTCTAGATAATCATCTGCCTAACGGCGTGACTTGGTGGAATCAACCTTTCTTCATTAAACAACATGGAATGGGCTGCACACAAATCCACTTAAATTTCCTGTGCCTTAGCAGCTGGATTTTGGTTGAAAAAACCAGACGGCAGTCACCGTAGCCTTATCACCACGCCTCAATGCAGGGTCATAAGGTCTGTAAAACCCAACAGCCACTGTTCAAATTCTGAAAGAAAAGAGTCACTTGAGAAAATGAAAATCAATTTGCTATAGCAATGAGAAAAATGATTAGATCTGTAAAAAAGGAAATGCTGCTCCCTTTGAACCGTGTATCGGCGAGGTCCGTGGTGTTTCAAAACGCCAGTTATCAAGGAAGACGGTGGACTGAGTGCAAAACGCATCGATACATCCAGGATTCTCATGTGTTTTAGTGACGGATGCTGCGCATCGACGCCAACAGGAAGTTTGCCATCTGTAATCATTGACAACGGTGGATTATAACTCATAGCGGATGACAGCACTTAGTGAACAGTGTAGAAGTACTCCAGCTGGTGTTGGGAAAGAAAGCATCTGGTACCGCACAGGAGTATCAGTTAAACTTGAGGTGCATGGGTTTGTTCAGCTTTATACCTCATACAGCAGCCGAGTTCTCACCTTGTGCCTACTGTATGCTGTCGCTGCACTTAGCTGAGCAAAACCGCGGAGTTCCCAGTCGATCGCATCACGGATAGATATGAACAAATTAACTGAAAGATTTTACAAAATCCATACATGATGTCCTCCTAGATAGTGGCTTAGAAACTAGCCAACAGGGTTTGTACAACATATCCAGCACGACGAGGCGACGAGATAAGCAGTGCACAATACTCGGTTTGTTGAATCTGGCTGTTTTTTACCCCCTTCGACTGATTTTGTCTCACATTTTTCCAATGCCCTAATTTTTATTATACTTCAAGTTGTCTTCTTTTCTCCACTCGAGTCTACTAGTATTGTAATGTCAACGCGAGCCATGGTAACCGGATCCAACACACTTTAATACTCGGGTCGTGATGGTATAACTGAGTGGGCTGCTGGTTCACCCTATTGGGAATTCGCGTCAGCTGACATTCACCGAATCCTGTTGGATTCGAATCCTTGCTTATAAGCAAGTAAACATTTCTGCTCAACTAATTTGTACTGTGAAGAGTTTCGGTGTTTTGAATTGGTTCCTCCCTCTCATACTCGGTCAGACTAGCCCCACGCATCCGGCAAACGCTTATTCGTGAGAGAAAGTCTTGGGTTCCAACGCAACAAGGTTCATTGTATACACAATGTTAGTATAAGGTCCCGATGGGACAGAATAAAATTCCAGGAAACTTCCGGATACTCAGTGGTTGTTCGACTAAGTTTGGTTGCGAAGAGCCTTCGCAGAAAACACCGGAAATCAGTTTAATATCTCCTGACTGATTGAAACTGAAGACTTGTTTATGAGTAGGCTATGCGTCAACTTGTATGGTGCTTATGCACTATAATTTAAGCATTAATGTACATCAGCTACTCTGTGGCACCATCCCGTTGAAACTGCAGCCATTTTCTTTCTTTCAGAAACTGTTCCCCAATCGGTAGCATGAGCACCACTACACTACGGAGAGACTTGAACCCTATCTCAGCTTCGGTTCTTAGTGTGGTTTCGTGGTTTTGCGGTGAGTCAAGTATTAATCCTTTCTTCACTGCATTTGTACACAATCATATTTCATATTAACTATATCCTACCGTGTACGTAAACAGTTGCTGAGAATATTGGTCCTACCGTTGAGCATTTGTTAGTAGTATGTCTGCGCATCATTATCCAGTCAGTTGAAATCAGTAAACCAGTAGTGCCGTGCTATTTTTACAATTTGTCGAGCGATTCAATTCTACCAGTATTTATGATTGCAGCTCAAAGATCGTGCAGATATCTGATGATAAAACATCAAAAATGAACTTGTCTGCTACATCAACCTTTCTTGTATGATAGAACAATGATAAACCTATGGAATAGCATAGAATCTTATTCGATTCTGCTTGCACACAAAACGTTATTGAATGGGATAATCTTAAGTCCTTACACTCATCGACCAAGTTGAAAGGTAACTTGAGCTTAACTAAATTGATCGACAATACGAGACAAATTTCAGTAGTTTCGGACCTGTACTGGGTGAAGGGTGGATTCATAAATATTTCAACCGCGTCTTACGATTTTAGCAACTATTTTTCCACATCCAGTGACCTCTCTCAGCTAAACTTTAAATAATGGACACAAATTATTTTTTCCCCAAAAATTCAGAACGAATCTAATCTGTCTTGAGATGCGTGTGGTCTAGGTGGGATACCAAGGAGTAAAAATATCAGCCTCTGTGAAATATAATTTAGGCACGGGTGTAAGTAGTAACAGCGTGAATAATGTGTACGAAACGCCGTGATATATTTTGATAGCTGTTCATATAAAACACGTTGAATTGGTACACTTTTAAGAGGAAAAATTTAGCTTTCCAAACCACTATCGAACTGGCGTTTTCACTTTCGTATGGTAAATATTGGCGCCAGGTCGAGCGAAGCTTGTCACTTAGGACGACGATGAGTTGAACGCTAGGTCCAGAGTGTCCAACCTTTCAAGGTGCCAGTGTGAACCCTAGCCAATGATGAGTTTTGGGCTAACCAAGACGAAAGTATCAAAGAATGGGTTAAGACGTAACATGCATATACCAATGTGTTGTTTTTTCTGTTAACCTCCTTCTGGCTCTATTTATCATCCTCAAATGCGTATCATAAGCATTTGGCCTCTTTCGATAAGCTAAGCGTTATGAACTGCAGAAAGTAGGACAAGTGCGTCACAATTAGATTAATACTACTAAGTTAACTACTTACTAGTCGACCGGGTGTGTATACTCACTCCTTGGATGTTCTACCACAGACGATCATGAGAGTTGAGTGCCTGTCAACATTTGTCCACGAAGTACACAGCTTGGTCAAACCGTCGTCCCACCCATCAGTTAAGTCCAGGTCTTAGAGTTCACCTGTTGATCTGCACAGTCGTGCCGTTGCCGCACACCAAATGCATCCGATCTCATCGGGATGGTAAGCAGGAGAACATTAGGTGTTGACGACGATAGCGTATAAATTGGTCCAACACTTGGGTCTGATGACAGGATAGTAGAACTAATCAGTCAAGCTTTCCTGCAAAAAAGCATTGTAGCGCACACACCCAGTTTGTACTACGCTTACTTAGTGCATCGGCTACGGTTCAAATCCAGTAGATGCAACCGGGATTCAGTTTTACGTAACTTGACTTGGTTAAACCTCTGCTTCTGATCCTACCAAGTCATTATCTGACCCAAGACTATTTTCATAGTCTACCATCTACCACCTTCATTTATGGTGACTTGCCAGAAAAGTCATGACACTAGGAGCCCACCCAGTTCTGTGTGTATGTGTGTGTGTGTGTATGCTTATGATGCGCATAGCAATAGAGGATAAGCCACACCATGTCTTCGTTCGTATTCAGTCATGAAGGCTTGTCACCGTCACATATGACCTGGCGGTTTCTGTTGCCGGTTAGCAAGAGAGCGGCATTGGGATCAAATCCAGCAGGATTAGGTTGATGTGCGTAGCTGGCAAGTACCAACGAGAAGAAGCTGGGATCCTGCGCTTAAACGAATGTGAGATGTTTGTCTGAGTCAGTCTCGTTATGACGAATCTTCTCAGAAAAATTTGTGAAGCCACTTACGACTGTGTGCGTTTATGTGTAGTGTGCCGCATGGTCGGTGGGACATCCCGGAGTATACAACGACTGATCCACATGGGCTTGTAGTTGACGGATGTGTGCCGTTTTTACCCACATGTTCCGTTAACTGGAACACCGGAATTGGTGTGTAATTCCACAATCTTCAGCGGCCAATGTAACATATCAGTGTACGATGTTGCTGATTTTTTGCACAGTTCAATCCCAAATGGAATGCATTCTTGATCCTTAAACAAGGTTTGAAACAGAATGTGCCTCAGGGTAACATAGGGAAACACAAAAAGTCTAAGCTGATCAGTTTCGCCACAATGTATAATTTAAAAAATGGGATCAAGTTACCAGTTATCGGGATAAAATACCCTCTGCAAGTACAGATGAAAAAACTGGAGATGAACGAGAAACCGGATTTTAACAGCCCAAAACTACAGAGTTTTCCTGTTCCACATACGCACGCACAAGGAGAGAGATTTAATACTCTATCTACCTGATTCCATCTGGTATTCCTAAAAACGATCAAGAAAGATACAAACGGACTGCGACTGACCCTCAGTATAAGGTAATTAGGTTGCGTAGATAAAAGCAGTATGGTGGGCAACTAGCCGACTTTTTGGCAGTAGTTTTCGGAAAAAAGGACAGTTTGCTAGTTGCATATATGAACTAGTATGTTGACGTACTAGCGCACCAATCAAATTTGGCATAACAAGATCAAATATATTGTTTTTATAGCCCATAGTTGAAAGATCAATAACGTCTGGAAATATCACTTCCTCCTAAAATTGCTTGTGATTCAGTTGCGGATGGTCTGAATTACGCCCTTGCTTATTCCACCGTAAGGCCTATGGTAATGTACCGGAGATCACTTTCTACACAGTTTATTCATAAGTATGGTTGCACACATGCCTTTAAATTTGGCCGAAACTTTGACTTCTTTTAGCTGCCAAACTATCCCCATCTGAAGACGCACCACCACCAGTCCCATCCATTTCCACCATTCCGGCTAACCAGCTGCTTTGTTGTTACAGTACCTCACTAGTACACTAGTATTTGATGGTCAAACCATTGCACCTCCTTCAGTCTACCGACAATTCCAATACCACATCAGAATACTTATGCGTTGTAATTCGCCTCTCGGTCGCATAATATATTGACTGTATCTGGCACAGACTTCCTCTGCTCTAGTTTCACTCGGTGAAGTCATCATACACTCATCCGAATCGAAGTTATTTTTCGTATTCAGTGGGCACATTTATAAAAAAAATATTTCCTACGGATCGTGAGTTGTGGAACCCAAGATCTTTTAGCACGATCTGTACCCATATTCACGGGTACAACTATGTTGTTTTTTAACAACTGGCAAAGCTGCAAAACTGCGTTCGATGAAGGGTTCTCCGAACCATCTGACGATTCTAAAATTACTCCTACAGGAGCATTTCTAAGTTAGCTACCACTGAAGTTGTGGTTTTCGATTACGTTCGCACATCATCGACACTAAGTCGCTGACATCCGTCGATTACGAGCCAAGTTAAAGGACTTAGCCCCACATGGATCAGTGTCTATTGATAAAGCAACAGAAACCCGCGTGCGCATGTCGCCTTCGCATGACCCACTCCTCTACGATGATCAATCATCACCGTGCGATTGTGACAAAGCCTCTGGGCATGACTCATCCTGAACACCACGAGAACGGAGAGGTACAGCATTCATTCGAAACAATGGTCGTCACTGAACATGACTCCAAGTAGCGGATAAGTTAGTGAACGGAAATGTGCACGAGGAGTCAGGAGAACTTTAACGTGTTCTAACTGAGCCCTTGCGTTCGACCCTACATGGATGACGTAGGTTAATTAGAATAAAAGTGAAAAAACAATCTGACAAATGCTCTCTGGTTTTGTCATGTATGCAGAGCTCATGAACAATGGTAAAAAAGTACCGCCACAGCTGGGCAGGTGGCGAGTTTCAGGGTTTTGGCATTTGAATAAAACAAGAAGGATCTTCCCCTAAGCAATTCATTCTGAGCTCCATACCTAAGTAGCGTATTTGGTTGGCTGCATCCGGTTTCGGATTTGTTTGTCACTGTGGCCAGCCACAGGACGCCTGCGCCTACAGAGGGACCATGGGTGGCTTGCGCAGCACCAGACACAGCTCCAACCATACACCCCATATCCAGTGTAAACCCGAAGGAATAAGATCGGGAGGCATGTGGATGGGAGCCACGTTTCATCAACGAAGTCGACCCACACTCCTTCACAGTCAAACACAAACACGTTGTATTTGGGAATCAAGGGCACACAAGGCGGTGGCTGGACCGTAGTCCACTCCACACTGAGTGCATGGAACCACTCTTCGAGCCTAGCACGGCCCCAAGGACCGTGCACCCCGTCCCGTCCAACAACGACCAAGTGTCTCCTGGAGCCAGTGTGAACGACGTAGTGGGTAATAGACAGGTAGGCACCTTATCAACATGCACATCAAGCGCAGCCGCATCGGGGATATCAAGCAACAGCCAGTCACTTGAGAGAAAGATAACAAAGAAAATAAATCGATTAATGCATAAGGAAACGGTGACATAAATCTTAAATTAATGAGCATATGAAATGAGATGTTTACAAAAGAATCCGAGATAAGTTCAGGGGGTCAGAAAGTATATTTTACGAAAGTGACACAAACACGAAAATGTTATCGAAATTAAACACATTTGGCTTAAGCGACGTGTACAAATTTATAGAAGATAGTGCAGGTAGACATTTATATGAGAAAGAAAGGCATTAGGAGAAAATTGAAAATCCACCACCTGAAATAAATAGACTTTTCATACAGGCACGCGGTTAGTAAATCGAATGCAGCGTACCTATAAACACTGCGCCGGTTCTGCCTACGTTCTCTGCAGAACCCGTCGGCGCTTCGGCACTGGCCCCGAGTGGC